ACCTTTACATTAAAACCTGTGTAAACTGTGTCCTCTCCGACTCTGTAGTGATGTGTGTTTTTGTATCATAATAATCTGGTTTATTTCCCAAAGTTTTGCATAAGCAACGTGATCTGTCTGTCCTGTGGCATGGTCCCTGCCACACTGCCACAGGCCCCTCACTCTGCCAGGCTACACCAGCTCAATCTGAGGAGCTCTAGGTAGTCAGGTGCCCTCTCCACACGGAAGCTCTCAAGTGGGGGGTGGGGTTGAGGGGCCAGGCCAGGCCCTGCCCTGAGGGATCTCACGGACAGCCTCTTCCTCCAGGAAGCCACAGCCAAGTGCCCCCCATCAGGGCCAGATACACAGACGCGGCCGTGAAGCACCGCCATGCCCTGAGCTGGATGCCACCTTCTTCCCAACTCTGTGGGTCAGTGTGTGCTCCCCTTACAGAGGGAGGGCCTGGTCACTTGCTTGTTTGCTGATGAGCAGCTGATCCGAGATAGGATAGGAATTCACCGAGTCCTTCTGCTAATAACAGCTCAATTTCGCAGTATGCTCCTATGTGCCAGGTCTCCTCTGAAGCAGGCTAGAAAACCTATTCTTCCTGAAGAGGACACTGAAGCTCAGAAATGTTAAGAAACTTGCCTAAGGAAGGGCATCCAGCTGGCCACCGACAGAATCAGCACTTGAACCCAGCTCCCGAAGCAGAGAACTTCTGGCTGTACTGTGCAGGTTAGGGAGTTAGGGAGCTGCCAGCCTTCCTCATAGAACCTAGCTGGTGATGAGGAGGAGACCCTGAAGCCCTGCTCCCAAATCCCTACTCTCCTCAGCCCCTGGCCCCTTTGCTAGGAGAAATGGGACATTCTGGCACATGGCCTAAAGACACAAGCAGCTGCTGGCCCCTCAGTTCAACATTCAAATTATAATAGGCCTTGGAACATCCTCTGCAGGAAGAATGGTCTCTCCTGATGCCCCCACTAGAGTCAGAGCAAATCAGCCCCATTGTTCTGTATTAGTCCACAAGTGTGGACTCTTGCTGGGCCT